AAGATAGTTGTGCCGAAGTGCGATGTAATACTACTAGCTCGGAAGCAGGAGGCAATGGGGGCTCCGGAACTAGAGGGCGACGAACCGGGCCTACTTCTTGGGAAGCGCAAGCGTCCTGCTACGTTTTAGGATGAATCCTGCCCTTTCGAGCTCGTGGGCTAAGCCTCTAACCAAAGTTGTAGACACTAGTAGTTTTAGTAGTTTTATGTTTCTGATCGAGAGGTTTAGATAAACGAATAGAGGTTTTATAATTGTCGATTACTACATCTCTTGTATATCATAATATACTACATATGCCCGATTCGTTGCAACTTTTTGTATCCAGTAGTGTGCCACAGCGTGCCACTATGTGAATGTGAAGTTGTATTACTATAAAAGAAAAAAAAATACAAATATCTAGATTCAAAAATGGAGGGAAAACTTTGCCAAACTTGCAAAAGTGGTTGCATTTTCTTGCTTTTAGCAACTTAATATTACTTGTGTGAGGTGTGTAGACCAGTAGATGATCTGAAAACTACGACTCCTATGACCTGAAGATATGTAAAAAGCTTGATTCAAGTATGAACCGCTAGGATATCCCGAGGTATCGAACTTTCTCTTTGGTCATCCCGAGGTATGGTGGCCATCCCGAGGCGATTGAACCGCTAGGATATCGGGCTGATCTGAGCTCGAGCTCAGACACGAATTTTCCAATGGATGCAACGTATTGTTTCTCTTTGCATGACTAGCAATGATTTTTCTCTCTGCAATCAGTGAAGACACAACATGAATGTAGCACCCCAGCGTCATAAATTGCTTGGCCTTAAAAAAAGTGGTTACATATAGCCCTCCGACCCAATAAAGTGGACAAAGTGGGTACTGACGATTTGATGCAGAAAAATATTCTCATAGCATGCATGACGGTTATCAAGGATATAGAAGATGGCACAGGAGGGAATCATGCATATGTCGTGAGGAAGGTGATTGCGAGGAGAAATGAGTTCCAATCTTGTTTACTAGTGCATGAATCTCGTTGAAGGAAGTATGAAGTTGATAGTTTAGCAAAGTTTTCTTTATTATTAACTTTAGGTTGACATGTTTGGCTTATTGAGCAACATGATGCTGTAACGAACTATTCCTTCCAGATTGAGCAATAAAGTACAACATTTACCCCTAAACAAGATATATAATACTACTCCCTCCTTTCAAAAAAGGAGGACGTTCTAGTTTCTAGGTTTTTCTATGCTATATTATGTATTAGAAAATGCATAACGAGCTAATTCATACAGGGCCACCTATGACCTACGACTTTATGAGCCAATGGTGTAGTACAAACAATTCTCTTGACTTTCTTTGTTTGCGAGTTATTGATCATGTGCTCATTTTACAATGGAGGGAGTACGGGCTACGATAGTCGGCCATTATCTTTTATTTTTCTTGAGGGAGTCTTTTCGAATTGTAAGCTGGAAATGGATTGCGATACCCTTCCCTGAGCAGGGCCTGTTTGGACTTGTAATTTATGGGTTGGGCTTGGTTCTGCTTATCATATACAAAAGACTTGACAATTTTCACAAAATTTTAAAACGTTCATGAATCCAAAAATATTCATGAATTTAAAAAATACTAATAAATTCAAAAATGTTCATTTGTTTAAAAAAATAGAAATTTGCAAAACTACTCCCAGGTTTTAAAAATTATTCATGAATTTTATAATTTTATAATAAAATATCTTAAGGAGAAATAAAATAGAAAACCGTAAGAAACCCGGTAAAAACCGATAGAGAAAACAAAGAAAGAAAAAGGCCGAAACCTTTTCCAAACCGTGCAGAAACTTCCAGGTGGAATCGTACATAGAGTTTCCTAATTGGACCAGCCCATGTGGCCAGAAGGTATGTGAAATATGAAATCACTAATTAAGAAGCACTCATGTCTTAAGAAAACTAATTAAGAAGCACTCTTTGTAAAGGTCACTCCCACCTTGCGACAATTTGTCACAATTTTGGAGTTTTTCTTTTTTTATAGATTAATTTATTTAAAACATTTTCTCTCCTAAACCGTGAGTCCAAATCTCAAACCGTTTTTACCGTGGGATTCCCCGCGTCGATATCTTCAAAACTAGATCACTTGATGATAGGTTTTGACAAAAAAAAATGCAAAACAAATCAGACGAAAAACCAAACTGGGCGTACGTCTTTTCCCTTTCCGAAGAGGCACAACTGTGACTCTCGCGGGAGCAAATCCGTGCCTACACAAGAAGTAAATCTATGTCTCTCATGGAAGAAGAAAAAGAAAAATGTTTTCTTTTCTTTCCCGAGGTTGTGCCTCTCGCGGAAACAAATCCATACCTCCACTAGAAATAAGTTTGTACCTCTCGCGGAAAAACGTGTTTTTTTCCTTTCCTGAGGCACACACTGCCTCTCAAGAAAGCAAATTCGCCCCTCCGAGAGAAGTAAATCTGCACCTTTCAGACCGTGCCTCTCACAGAAGCAAATCCGTGCCTGCGCGAGAAGTAAATTTGTGCCTCTCGCGGAAGAAAAAAAACATTTTTTTTCCTCTCCTGAGAGGCACTCGCGGAAGCAAATCCATGCCTCGACGAGAAATAAATATGTGGCTCTCGGGGAAGGAAGAAAAAAAAAGAAAAAACTTTTTTCGCGTAAAATTGTCCAAACCCTAAGAAAAATTGGAAAGCAGATTTTTTTTCTAAAAAATCATCTAAAAGCCAAAAATGTGAAGAGAAAAATAAAAATAAATCAAAATCCAGAGGGAGCGCCCGAAGCACGAACCGTGATAGCGGTAGTGACGCGCTTCCGGCGCACGAAAAGTGACCCTTGCGGTGGGCTCCCGAAGGAATACGCGTTGATTGGTTGCTCTCTGTGAACTATTCTGCGCTACGGGCGTTAAATACGATTGCCCCTAGATAGATAGCAGGCCTATTTTGCACCTTTGAGCAGGGAAAAGCGTCGTGAGTGTCAAGTACTAAACCGTGTCCTATTATATCTTTAAAAAACCTAAACCGTGTCCGGCTCCCATACAAATTCCCCTATAGTTCTCTAATGGGAAGGCGACGGTTTCCGAGTGCGACAGGAAATAGATCTAGATTCTGTAGACGGAATGAGACGTTTTATTCGACTTCTCCATGGTAAGAAACAAAGTCCGAGCTGCTTAGCTTAGTAGTACGTAGCTAATTGGGACACTCATAACTGTCAGATCGTGGCGCGTGCTGTCGGAATTTTCTGCTCTCTTCTCTCATAAAAGGCGACGAACATCGACGTACCTCCACACATTAATCCACACCGAGCCTCCTCCGGCGTACAAATATGGCGACAATATCCAGCAGCATCCCGGCCGACGGGTGCTCGCTCCTTGAGGCGTTTTTGGTGATCCTGCTGCCGCTGCTCCTCCAGTGCCTCTGCCGGCCGCTCCAACGCGGCCGCGCCCATGGAAAAGATCGCTGGGAGGTGGATACCTTCGGCAGCGTAGACGTTGGCGCCGGCGGCCAAAGCCCGGCGTCGTGTAACTCCCACCAGGTGTTTCCGAGCTTCGGCGATGAGGAGGACAGCACCGCCGGCAGAAGAAGAGCATCATGTCGTCGTCATCCGGCAGCGACATCGAAATCGATGTTGAATTGCCGTCTAGCGATGATCAATAAACTACAGGCTTATATCGCCAGGATTACATTGACGATATCTACACCCAGTGGGGCGGGTGTATACAATTTGGTGTCCCGGCGACACGACGATGATATCGAACTGTTGACACGTGAGGGGTTGGGTGACAACTTTCACGGCACATTGCCGTGCGTGGAGGAGAGCACCCCCAGCCGATGGCGAGCCATGGCGAACCGTCACTGGATGATATCAGAGAGACCGACATACAAGGCAAAGCCTCGCACTTCCACTGGCGCAGGAGGGCGATACCGGTCTGCTAACGAGTACCTTTCGACGTCGGACATATCGGTGTTTCAGTTCTGCCGCAATGTCCTACAGCATGAGCTCAACGAGAGAGTTTCGATCGACCCCAGTATCACACACCATTGGGATCAACTATCGTGGTGGTGCACTGTGTACGGAGGCCTAGATTCCACCGTGGGAATTTCCAAGCAATGGGACGAACGGCTATGGCAGGGCGATTCCTCCGAGGGAATTCCCATGGAGGAGGACGACTCACGTGATTGCAGAGAGCAGATATCCAAAGTTTCCAACGATGAATTCTTTGGAACAGATAACGACTCATGTCTTGATCAGAGCAGTGTATGTTTTGACAGCCACACTAACGCGGAATGCAGTTCGACAATGACGACTTCAACGAGGTCGGCAGAATTTTTGTTGCATCGACCCGTGGAGAACGGTACCGTGGCATCGTCGTCAATGCAGACCCAGCTTGGTGGCAACAGTGACAACGATTCACCCGATTGGAGAGAGCGAACATTCAAAGATTCGACCGACAAATTTTATGGAACAGACCAAGAATCATGTCCTGATCAGAACATTGTGTGTTCTCATAACAAGATCGTCACGCATTGCAGCGCGGCAATGACGACTTGGAACAGTACCGTGGTATCGTCGTCAATGCAGCTTGGTGGCAGCAGCAGCGATGACTCGACTAGCTCGGACGTAGAGCAACCGAGTAGCAACAACGACGACATTGACGATTCTGATAGCATGAATAGCTCGATTACAACTGAACATGGGGATGTATCCAACGAGCAAGCAACCGAGCCGTCTACTGAAGTTGATGAGACAAGTAGTACACCATGGTGGCTAGTACCAGGATTCAGATTTCGCCCCACGGACAAGGAGATCGTGCTCCACTATCTCAAGCCCAAAGTCCTGGATCTGGCGCTTCCAAGAAGAATAGAAGAGCTGGACAATATTTATGCTCTGAACGCAGATGACATAAGACGTAAGTTCCGAAAACATCTTTTTATTGAATTATTTGTTGTTTTTTCAGTGCATAAAGCAGGCATGGACGTTGTGTTACACTTACACAGTGGCATGAAAGAGTCTAACTCTTCTACGTATATGCACGCAGTTGACGAAGAAGACGGAGACAAAGAGCGACTAGGGTTCTTCTTCGTGCACAAGCAAGACACGGCGTACAGCAACGGGTGCTACTACACCACCCCGGCCGGGTACTGGAGGATCCGCGGCCGGCCGTCCCGCGTGAGGGAGGGCCGCTGCACCGTCGCCTTCAAGACGTCAATGGACTTCTACCGTGGCAGGCTGCTGCACGGGTGCAGGACCCCGTGGAGCATGTTCGAGTACAAGCTCAACGTGGACCGAGGCGACCTCAGGAACCTCGCGCAGCCAGAGGTACGCATGTGAGCAACTGAGCATGTGAACCACTTGCTTCAGATTAATGATCTTTTCTCATCGCTTACCAAACTGCCTTGTTCCTGGAACAGATGAACTCCTACGTTATGTGCAAGGTTCGCAAGAGGGACAGTCGCCGAGACGCCCAGGGCGGGGAGGTGCTGGCGGCGCCGGTCAAATCCAAGGCGGCGAGGATGTGGCGGCGCCCCGCACCGTTGTCGGGATCCCCTGGTGCGAAGCAAAACTCAAGGAGACGCACCGGACAGATGTACAGTATAGTTGCGCCGGAGCGCGATGTAATACTACTAGCTCGGAAGCAGAAGGAGGCAATGTGGGCTCCAGAACTAGAGGGCGACGAACCGGGCGTACTTGGGAAGCGCAAACGTCCTGCTACGTTTTAGGATGGATCCTGCCCCTTCGAGCTCGTGAGCTCTAACCAAAGTTGTATAGACACTAGTGGTTTTAGGTTGTTTTTTGTTTCTGATCCAGAGGTTTAGGCGAATAGATTCAGAGAGCAGGTTTGTGTACAATTTTCAGTTACCACATCTTTTGTAAATCAGGGTAGATTAGTCGTTGGCTCATATCTTATGTGTATACTCTCCTCGTTCCAAAATATAAGGTATATTGGTTTTCATGCAAGTCAAACTTGAATATGTTCGACCAAGATTATGCCGCCTACTGTACTATCTTCTGCCTTGTATTCCCTCTAGATCACTACTTTAGGGCCTCTTTGATTCACAGGTTTTTAAAAACGTGGGAATAGAAAAAGTATAGAATTGGAGTGTCATGACCACTTGAATCCTATAGGATTATCAAGGAGTGTTTGATTTCACGGGAAAAACAAAGGAATTGTAAAAAGAGGTTGGAGTGGATGTTAGATTTCCTATAAAATGTAGTACAAAAGATTCCATTGGAAAAATTCCTATGTGATTCAATCCTATGAATCAAAGGACAAACGTAGGAAAAATTCCAAAGGATTTCAATCCTCCAGAATTCCTATAGAATTCCTTTGAATCAAAGGAGCTCTTAGTGATCCATAAAAGCTCATATATTTTTCTACGGAGGGAGTACAATGCAAGGTGCTTAGTAATATAAACTGACTTCTTAAGCATCAATACTTATTTTCATAGGAGGGGTGTCTAATCAAGCGTTCACCTTCCACAAATAAGCACCAATGCCTAAGAAAACACTGGTTTATTTCTCTAAATAAGCATCTTCCTAAGCACCTTGCATTGTACAAACATTAGCGACCTGTTTGGGGACCCTGTTGCGGGAAATTAGCATGTTGAGCAGGGTTTTTGTCATCTTCAAAACATATCTGTAAGTTAAATATACATGAAAAAAATCCATATATTTGTAAGTTATCAAATGATTTAAAATTTAATTGATTTGCAGTAAGTAGTGTGGTAGTAAGGGATGACTTGGCGCTCATTGCAACGCTCTTCTATCTTGATGAACGGTAGAAATACATAAGATGTGAACGGATTATAGTTTAATAAAAGTTTAGGTTTCATGTTTTAGATATGTTCATGCATAAAAAGAGGGGAGATAATCTGATATTGGTACCAATTCTTTCAAATAAGTCTTTCAAAATGTGGGAATGATCTATTTCATAGAGAAGGAAGCACATTGGTATTTCTAATAGATGCAATTTTTCTCCCAGGAAGTTAAGCATTCATTCATGTCCCAAGGGCTATCTCTAGCACAAATGTATAACCTGTTAGAATTCATTTGGTATAATTTTAACAGTTCAAATTAGAGTGTTTCAAGTGTATAGCCCTGTAGAAAGATATAGTGGCATCCATTTCCAAAGCACGAAAACACCAACCATTGTTCGTAATGGAGATTATTGCAACCATCTGGTTCATGTAATGAACCTGAGGATGAGCCTTAAAATAACGGAAAATGAGCTTCTCTAAACTGAATATTCAGGAAAGGAAATAGGTTTCTAACAATCATAGCAGGTGCACTACCTATAAGCTATAATACCATGTATATATATAATTAGCAATCATGTACCTATATGTTTATCTGACATTATGCAGACCCTCTCTTTGCAGTCAATACTCGTTAGCAAGCATGCACCATATAGCTAGTCTATAGGCCCCAGGGATATCATCAATATTAGATATGGATGTGCAAGTATGTCCATAGATAGTTGTGTGTAAAATAGTAGAACCTACAGTAGTAGCACAAGAGTACCTAACCTGTGACCTATGCCACATCAGGTTGGAATTCATCGCATCAGAGATAAATGTATTGGAAAGTCACATTGTATAAACAACATTGAAAATTAACAGCCCTTTATTTGGATGGCAATCTAAGTACATTGCTGTTTATATCTGATACATTAAAAATAGAGAAAAGTATATGTTTCGTCCCTCAACTTCTAGCCAAGTTTAGATTTGGTCCCTCAACTATAAAACCGGATAACTTGCACCCCCAACTCTTTAAACCGGACAAGTTTTGTCCGTAGAGCAGCGGTATCCGCGCTGAATCAACGTGGTTTTGACCAGTACAAAGTGAAACGTGGCCAAGGTTTTAGAGGTATAAAGAGAAGATAACACTTGCAGCGCTCATGGTGTTGTGCGTGCCGCTCGCATGGGCCATGCTGCTGTCCAGGATAACACCCATCAGGATCTCCTCCGGCACCTCCAGCTTCTCGTACACGCATCGGCATGACCAATAGTGCCGAGGACTGTTCACCACGGCAAGCTTGGGCAATGCACGGATGCGGTGGCGACGGTCAGCAAGGCCAAAGATGTCTCGGGCTCTCGGCACGGCGAGCCTGGCCAAGGCGCGGGTGGGTGTCGACGAGCAACTTGGCAGCAGGGCAGGGCAGACGACAGCGGTGCGGCAGCTCGAGCGGTGGCCGACAGCGGCCATGGGAGCGGGCGGGCGTTGAGGCTGCCTTGTTCGAGGAGCTCGTAGACAAGGACGCGCCGGCGCGGTCGGGTCCGGCGACGTAGTAGCCGAGCCGGGCCATGACTTGCTGGCTGGGTTCCCGACGCAGAGACCGCGCGGAGTAGTCTGAGCTTCTCGTCCTTGCTGTACAAAACTACAAGTATGAGTGCAGCGTCGATGTGACCGGCGAGTGGCCGAGCTGCTTGAGCAACCCGGAGGACGCCACGGCTGCCACTCCGCTCGAGCTCTGCCGCCGCTGCCACTACGCTCGGCGCTGCAATCTGCTCGCCATGGCTGTCGGGTGGAGCGAGCGCGAGCGCGAGAGCTGAGGAAAAGAGCACCTGGAGCGGGCGAGTGTATGCTGTGGGATGTGCACGTGGTCTTGAGTGCGTCGCCGCCGCCGGTCACCGCCATGAGCTCCCGCGCCAGCGACATGCAGACTTTACTGCCGTCGTCCTCGTGCCGGTGAGCCCGGCACGGTACAAACGTGTTCGTGTCGCCAGAGCACGATCTCGGTGTCAACGTCGGCGGCGTGGATGGTTCGCTGGGGGACGCGAGCCGTAGCAGCCTTACGGAGGTCGCCAAGGACCAGAGTCACCTCGCCGGAAGCTTCCACGCCCATGTTCTCCTCCTGCTGCAACACGCACGCCAACTGCTCGACCAAATGGCCAGCCGAGTTGGAATAGGAAGGAAGAACAAGATCCGCTAAGGATTGCCACGTGGACACAGACCCAGTCAAAACCATGCCACATAATCGTGAAACCGCTTGCAATCGGGAGAGGAACTTAGTTTGTCCGGTTTCAGAAGTTGGGAGTGCTAGTTGTCCGGTTTCATAGTTGAGGGACCAAATCTAGACTTGGCTAGAAGTTGAGAGATGAAAAGTATATTTTTTTCTTAAAAATATTCACGGAGTCAATCAAATAGGAAAGGAACACTCTTCTAAACACAAACTGGTCCGATTAATTCTGGAACATATATTGGTAGAATAAGGTGGTTAACACACCGCGAACGACTGCAAGGATATCAATAACAGAAGTTTATTACATGGTACCTGTTTATTATATCCTTTCAGAAATTCTTGAAGTAGAGAAGCTAACCATTCCATTTCTTTGATACCTACAGGAGAATACCAACAGAAGGTCATCATAGTTAAAGTCACTGGATTACCTCAACATGAATAATGGGGAAATGATGTTGAACACACATGTTGCTCGGCAACTTACTGTTCCCTTGTTTTGAAGGCTCGCCTTATACCTCAGTTCTGATGAAGAATGCCAATATGGAACATCACTTGCTGCAAGCAATCAAAACAGTGACATTAATATTTCCTGTTAGCTGCATTTTTCTTGCGATTTCACTATGTTGTTCTAAGCCACCTGTCGCATCCAGTAGTAAATAGCACCATGGTATGAATTGGAAGCACTCGTACGCCGTAAAAACATGGAAGGATAAGGTCTGTCAGCCGAAGTGAAGTAATTACCTGTCCAGAGAGTAAAAAAAACTGCGATAACCAATCTCCAAAGATCTGGCCGAATCAATTGGCCACAACAGTATGAGTACCGCCTGTACAGAATTGGAATTCGGAGGATATTAGCGCAAATGTAGTCTTCGGGTCGAAGAACGAGTGGTACATGAAAAAGCAAATATAGAGCAGAACCTAGCCGAGAACCATGGTGGTGGATGTTCATACAGTATTCTGGACGGGAATATACACATGCGTCGTGAACTGAAGCAGCAGAAGGGTGATAAAACAGAGAGACATACATTAATCACGGCCGGCGAGAGGCCCGCATCATCCGCATTCCGCCATGAATTCCTCCCGAAAGCGAGGAGTGATTGCTTCGTGCAAACCGCGGAGCAGTTTCGCTCGACGAACAGCCGAGCAGCCAAACCACGATTGGCGTCGATCTACATCGGCGTGCGGTCCGGGAGGCCCCAACCAACCTCTACCGCACGGAGCTGGTCCGCGACCGAGATGGCGCAACCACAACGCCCGCGTCGCCTCCGCCGGCTGGGCTCTCCCCCGCAACCTCGCCGACCGCATCGAGATTTTTTTTAAGGGGTGCATCGAGCTTTTTCGTGGAGGGAGGGAGGAGGAGCGCAACGAC